TAAACACCGAGCAACAGCAGCAGCAGCAGCAGCAGCAGCCTTAGCCACCCCCAGAGCCATGTCCCCTCCATTCTGTCCCTACACTGGATCCACGTCTTGCTGGCCAGGCCAGGGCCTCCCTCTCTCAGTTGTTGGAGGGAGTTGCCCCACATCGGTGTTTGCATCTTCCCGGAAAGGCTGGGCTGTTACTGTGCAATTGAGAAACCCTGAGGGAACTGTGGCAAGAGGGAACAGCTCAGGTAATGCAGAAGGTGAAGAAAAGAGCGATTGCTGTCCTTGTGACAGCTTCCTTCCTGCCTTCATTATGTCACAATCCTCCTGGGAAGCACTCAGTAGCTCCCCATTCCCCACCACAGCAAGTCTAGACCCACCATCTGAGGTCACCCCCACTCCACTCTCTTCCTCAGATCACCAGGACATTCTCATCACTGGTCGCTGACCACTGTGTCCCACAGCCCTCATGCCATTCTGCTCAACTGAAATGATAGTGTGCATCCAAACTGCGCTCCCCTCCACGCCTGGTTTCTGACGAGCCACCTCCTTTCACCTTTCTCCATGCCACGGTTCTCAAGTGTGGGCACTTGGCTGAATCCCTCAGGAAGGTGGGACACAGACACATGCCTGGGCTTCACCCCAGAAATGCCATTTGGGAGGTCTGGTGAGGGGCCTGGGAACCTGCATTTTCACAAGCAGCCCAGGTGATTCTGAGGCAGGTGCTCCACGTAGACCAGGCCCACAGGTGCTCAGTGTACAGTCACATGGGCCCTGAGGAAGGCCCTGAGGTCTGTTCCTATGGATGAGGTGTGTGCCTCCTTGAGCCAGCCAGTCAGGGCATGGGCAGGGAGACCACAAGTGTGACGGTCATAGGAGTAACTACCATGGGTTGAGTCCTACTGTGTACCAGGTGCTTTACTCAGGTGATCTCATCTAATCTTGTCAATGTCAGGAGGTTGTTGGAAGGATGTTTGTCATCTCTTGGTTCTCTAGCACCAAACAGCTTTTCCATTCATAAGACATGCCACAACGTGTGAGTCCCACTAGGATGCGAAGCTCTGCTTCCACTTCTATTGAGGATGGGGGCATATATTCCTCCCACCTTCTCCTTGGCAGCTCTGGTGCAGGCATGTGACTTGGTGCAGGCATGTGATTTGACGAAGCTGGGCCAAATGCATGATTCTGGTGCAGGATTCTGCATCCTGAGGGTGGGACACACGATGCAGGGCCAGTTGGAGGTGACTTGGATAGAGGCAACTTAAGCATTTAGAGTCCAGGAACAGCATGATGACAAGTGACAGGTGGCTTCAAATGTCCAGGGCAGGGCATCAATGGCAACATCACCAGTGTCTCATGCTGTCCCCTCAGATGTGGCCTCAGCTGTCCAGTCCCTCTTGGTTTCTACCCATTGTCTAAACCTAGTCTTCTAAACTTCTCATGGATTCTGTGAGTTACTGGTATCCTTCTAAATTTCCTTTGTTGTTTAAGATAGCCAGAGTTGGGTTCTGTTGTTGGCATCAAGAATCATGACTGGTTTTGGCTAGCATCATTATCCCCATTGAGGCAATGAGGAATGTCGAGACCCAGAGGATTAAATGAGTCACTCAAGATCAGACATCTTGCAGGCATGCGGAGCTGGGATTTAAGCCTGGACGTTGTTTTAGTTCAATTAACCACACAGCACTATTGTATCAGCCAAGGTCCCATCAGAAACAGGAGTCTTTAATGAAGATGAGGGTAGAATTCAGGGAAGACAATAAGAGAGGGTGCAGTATCCTGAGGCTGGCAACAGTGGTAAGTAATCGCTTCCTGATGTTAGGGGAGTGTAGGGCAGGGAGGACACCCCCACCAATCCCAATGCCCTCCAGGCCTGCTGACTTGGAGATACTTCCAGCAAAATGCCCATTAAGGGGTAGAGGGTCTCAGAGGTGTTGCAAATGAACTAGTTCTGGCCAAAGTCCTGGTGCTTGAGGACCACCATAGTGATGTTGACCATGTTGGTCTGGGCATCGCTCTGTAGCAAGTAGCAGGGCCCCTTCACCCAGCCCTGTGTGAAGCCAGGCTCACACTTCTTTTTCCTGATTTTGCACCAAACCTCATCCTCCACATGGTTCTTGCAGCCTTTGTAGGAGCACCATACAGACGGAGTCCTCCCTTCCAGGTACTGCACTTTGGTGTACACACTGTCAGCAGGAGCACCTGGGGAGACAGGACTTGCTGAGGAAGGTGTGTGGAGAGAGCAGGAAGAAGGCATCGTGAGAATGGGGAGCTTGTGGGGAAGGGAGATGAGGTGGATGTTGCTGTTTTGTCATGGAACCCACAGTTGGAGGAGGAAACACAGCCCTACCCTTGGGGAGCTCCCCCAAGTCTGATAGGGAGATCCATAGGCCCTGCTGACAGCTAGTTCCCGTACTATGTAGGAGACACAGGGCCCTCCCTCAGGGCTCCCCCAGTCTAATGGAGGAATCTCAGCCCTTGTACTTGGAGCTCTGTAACTCACAGCCCCTTCATTGTGGTGTTTTTAAGTCTAATGGAAGAGTGATAAGGCCTGTCTCCAAAGATTCCTAGTTTTGTAGGAAAGACCGAGGTCCTGCCCTCCATGACACAGATGCAGAGGCACAAACACAAGTCACTGAATTCTGAAATTTCAGAGCACAAGCAACTTAGGGAGATGAGAAATCCCATATTTGAAAAAAATAATGAATGGTTATTTATTTTACAAATAGGTTCACTGTAGTCACTTTTAAATAGCATGATGCCTTAGTTCATTGTAGGCAGTATTTAGGTTTAAAATATTCTAGTTAAATAAACCCATAAATTAAGCATGTCCAGATGTCCATATAAACTCCCAATGGGGTGTGAGCAAAGGAATTGTACAATTATTCACTGCTCCTCTACCACATCATGCACTCTATGCCCAGGAGTAACGTATGGTCTGTGACCTTCATAATCCACAGACTGGTAAAGAAAAAGCAGAACTGGGCAGTGTGTGTGGTGGTGGTCAGAGGGTTGCTCAGTAGACAGAAGAGGGAGAAAACTGCAGGGGGTCCCTTTACGCCTCTGCCCTCCACGAGCTCAGCACTTACTCCTCTAACA